TTATGGCATAGAAGGCTTGGTCATTTTGAAATGAAACAATTAAATAGATTGGTTAAGCATGACTTGGTTAGAGGCTTGAAAGATGTTGTGTTTGAGAAGAATAAGCTTTGTAGCTCTTGTCAAGCTGGCAAACAAGTTGAAAACACCCATCCTAAGAAAAGCATGATGAGCACTAGTAAAGCATTTGAGTTGTTGCACATGGATTTGTTTGGGCCAACACAATACACTAGCATCGATGGAAACAAATATGGCTTTATAATAGTGGATGACTACACTAGAAACACTTGGGCATTCTTTCTAATGGACAAGAGTGATGTGTTTGCAACATTCAAATCATTTGTCAATGACATACACAATGAGTTTGAAACAATCATCAAGAGAGTTAGAAGTGATAATGGTACTGAGTTTAAGAACACAAGAATTGATGAGTTGTGTGATGACTTTAGAATTAGACATCAATTCTTGGCCAAGTACACTCCGCAATCAAATGGCCTTGTTGAGAGGAAGAATAGAACACTCATTGATATGGCAAGGTCTAGGCTTAGTGTGTGCAATGTGAGTCAATCGTTTAGGCTAAAACTATCAACACGACTTTCTATTGTAGCAACCGCTTGTATTGTCACCCATTGAAGGAGAAGACACCTTATGAGCTTTTGAATGGTAGAAAGCCTAACATTGCATATTTTTGGATCTTTGATGGCAAATGCTATATATAGAAGAAAGGCACTAGATTGAGCAAGTTTTGTAAGAAATGTGATGAAGGATTCTTGCTTGGATACTCAACCACTAGCAAAGCATATAGAGTTTGGAATTTGGCAAGTGGTACTCTTGAGGAAGTTCATGATGTGGAATTTGATGAAACCAAGGCTTCCCAAGATGAGAATGAGAATCTTGAAAATGTTAGAGGCATTCAACTTTTAATTGCCATGAAGAACATGAATGCTAATGAATTGAGGCCTAGGCAAGTGAATGATGATGAAGATGATCAAGTGCAAGTGCTCTCTAACTCAAATGTGCAAGTTGACACTAATCGAGCAAGTACAAGTGGCTCTCATGACAATAAAGAAGATCAAGTGGCTAGTACATCATCTCAATCTAGTCAAGCAAGCAAGCAACAATGTTCCAATACTCCAACCAACTCATATTGCAAGAGATCATCCATTTGACACTATAATTGGAGATATTTCTAGAGGTGTGCAAACATGATCATGATTGGCTTCATTTTGTGAGCATTTCTCATTTGTGTCATCCATTGAACCAAAGAAGATAAAAAAACATTGATGGATGTGGATTGGGTGAATGCAATGCATGAAGAATTGAACAACTTCACAAGAAATCAAGTATGGGAACTAGTGGAGAGACCAAAGGGATACAATGTGATTGGAACCAAATAGGTCTTTAGAAACAAGCAAGATCAAGATGGGATAGTAGTAAGGAACAAAGCAAGATTGGTAGCACAAGGATACACTCAAGTGGAAGGTCTTGACTTTGGAGAAACATATGCCCCGGTTGCAAGATTATAAGCAATTATAATCTTATTAGCTTATGCTTATGCCCACAACATTAAGCTCTATCAAATGGATATCAAGAGTGCATTTCTTAATAGCTACATCAATGAAGAACTATATGTTGAGCAACCGCCAGTTTTTGAGATGACAAGAAGCTCAACCATGTGTACAAGTTGAAGAAGGCACTATATGGTTTGAAGCAAACACCTAGAGCATGGTATGAGAGGTTGAGGGACTTCCTCCTCTCTAAAGGGTTTATTATGGGCAAAGTTGACACCACTCTTTTCACCAAGAAGATTGGCAAGGACTTGTTTGTGTTGCAAATCTATGTGGATGACATTATCTTTGGATCAACCAATCAAGACTATTATGAAGAGTTTGAGAAGATGATGGCTAATGAGTTTGAGATGTCCATGATTGGAGAATTGAGTTACTTCCTTGGTCTTCAAATCAAGCAATTAAAGAATGGTATATTTGTAAGTCAAGACAAGTACATCAAAGACATGCTCAAGAAGTTTGGAATGGTTGATGCAAAGTCAATTAGTACATCCATGAGGACAAATGGAAACTTGGATAGTGATGCAAGTGGCAACATGGTGGATTAAAACTTGTATCGCTCTATGATTGTAAGCCTGCTCTATGTAACCGCATCAAGACCAGATGTCATGTTTAGTGTATGCATGTGTGCAAGATTTCAAGCCTCTCCGAGGAAAAGTCATTTAAAGGCAACAAAAAGAATATTGAGGTACTTGAAGTATACACAAAATGTTGGTTTGTGGTATCCCAAAGGAGCAAAGTTTGAGCTAGTTAGTTATTCCGACTCGAATTATGTGGGATGCAAAGTTGAGAGAAAGAGCACATCGGGGCACTTGTCAATTGTTGAGAAGATCACTTGTTTCATGGTCATCAAAGAAGCAAAATAGTGTTGCATTATCAACCGCTGAAGCTGAATGCATATCCGTCGGTAGTTGTTGTACATAAATTCTTTGAATGACTTTGGAATCAAGTTTAAGAAAGTGCCATTGCTATGTGACAATGAGAGTGCTATCAAGCTCACCAACAATTCTGGTTCAACATGCAAGAACAAAGCACATTGATGTCTGCCATCATTTCATTAGAGATCATCAACAAAAAAGGGACATTTCAGTTGAGAGTGTGGGCACCGAAGATCAACTTGCCGACATATTCACCAAGCCACTTGATGAGAAGAGGTTTTGCAAGTTAAGGAAAGAGTTGAACATATTGGATTTCTTAAATATGTGTTGATGCACCCCCACTTATATAACATGCCTCTCCTTCGAGCAATCCAAGGTAAAATTGTTTGGCATGACATACATTCCTTACTAAGGACTAGTTTAGTGCATCTAATCATTCCTCATGTTTTATAGGCTCATTCATGAAAATCAAATATATTTGATGCTTGTATGGTACCACTATTGCTTCTATGCTTGACTTGATCTAGTGGTAGAATATGGCATGTTTGTGGGTTTGTGAACTTATTGTTTAATCTAGAAAATGAACTATAAGTGTTTAACTCAATATGGTCAAGATAACCCTTGGAATGAGGTGGGAAGAAACTTGTCCTTGGATCAAACCGAGTTAAATATCTTTGGCGAGTGTTCTAGATTGAACCTAATTTGGGAAAATGATTCTCACCCAATTGATTGACTTTGATAATCTTAACTTATCTAAAATTAAACCTTTGTGGTCATTGATGACAAAGGGGAAAAGAAACAAAGATAAATATGATAGAAGGAGAAAATTGACATAGGGAGAGAAATATGACAAAGGAAAGGAATAATTAAAATTTGAGCACATAAATAGGGGGAGCAAGCTCATGAACTTGTATGATGCATTTGAATGTGCATTCACATATGCTTGCTTGCATTTGTCAAGTTTAAATTTGATATACATGCTTGTGTGGTGTATGCTAGGTGTAGGTTTGAGTGATGAAATGAAAAACTAGCATGCATAAGATGATAGTTAGATGTGACTTGCATTTGTTTTCATAAGTGGTACTAGAACCTTGCTTATAATATTGATCTCATGGGGTATCTAGTTTTTTGTTGTGTTTGCAAGTGGTATCTAACTAGCAATTGTGCTAAGGATGGTATATTAGTGCACTCCGATTGGTATCACACTTCAAAGGTCCATTTTTATACCTTAGCATCATTTGGTAGACATTATTTCCCACTTTTCCTATCTATGCATATGTACAAGCTTTCAATCAAACTCTTAGGGCATATGTAGGGGGAGCTAATGCTACCATTTCAGGTTTATAAAACTTGTCCAAATCTTTTACACATGGTAAAAATGCTTGGGCAAGCAATATGGATTTAAATTAATTTCAATTCATATTTTTGTGGAGGTTGTTATCAATTATCAAAAGGAGGAGATTGAAAGCCCTAGTTTGGTTTTGGATAATTGATGAAACCTTAAGTGTACTAACATTTGTCATGAGTGAAATGCAAAGATAGGTTGGTACACACTCAAGTGATGGAGCTAGATGATGGTCAGAGTGATGGAGGTGACCAAAAGATAATATTTGTGAACAATTTGATAATATTTGTGAATAATTTTATATATATTTCTCTGATGTCTAGAATTCATAAAAACAATTTGTAATTTTTTTTGAAAAATTTTGGCATATATTTGTGTTATTCGTAAATTACATCACTATGTCCAATAAATTACACTGATGAAATCATTGTAAATATAGCTATAAGACAGCGTAAGCATATGAAAAAAAAATAGTTGACAAAAATAACTGAATGTCACGTGGACAAATCCAAAAAAAAAAGTATAAGCCTAGGGGCATGTTCATGACTTCTATCAACCAAAAGCTGAAATAAACAGTCTAGATGTTGAGCTGACATTTGAAAAGATAGAAATCTGGCTTCTATAAGGAAATAAGTTAAAAGCTGAAAAGGCACACTAGGAGTTTTTTGGTTTTTAGTGTAAGGAGAAGTTAAAGATTTATCACCAAAATCAATAGCAAAAAAAACTAACAGCAGGCATGAAAACCTGCTTTTGAGCTAAAAGCTATGTTAAAAACCGCAGCTCAAATGAAACCCTAAGTAAAGATAGTTGAGGAAGGAGGTGGCAATGTGGCGTCGTGAGTGAGCCCTAGCTAGGCGCAGGCGAACAGCTCCCTATATGTTCTAATGAAATTTCATAACTCCCATGCTAAACGCATGTTTTATACTTAACTTTAGAAAGGCGTGCGCGTGCCTCCCGTCGAATAAAATATACTTTGCAATACCTAGAAAACAAAATAATTTTCTAGTCTACAGTAGTTATGAGAAAGCTTAAAACCTGCACCGTCAGAGGTCAGACTAGCAATGCGGTAGAGTAGAGGAGTGGAGGTGAGGTAGCGATGGCCATGGACCAGCTAGCAATGCCCATGCTCCTGTCCACCGACTCAGCAGCCGCCGTCATGGTGCTCCTTTCCGTGGCCACACTGCTTGTTGCCCTCAACCACTTGCTCTCGTCATGGCGGCGATCTCCTCGGCGGCTTCCCCCGAGCCCGCCGCGCCTCCCGCTGATCGGTCACCTCCACCTGCTGCATCCACCGGCGCACCGCACCTTCCACGAGCTCGCGGCGCGGCTGGGGGCGCCCCTCATGCACCGCATTGTGTGGTGGCCAGCACGGCCGACGTCGCCAGGGAGCTCATCCGCGACCACGACGCCACCATCTCGGGGCGGCCGGTCTCGGTGCTGTCCCGGCTCTTCTCCTACGGCTCCGCCGGCTTCGCGTTCACGCCCAACAGCCGCCACTGGCGCTTCCTCAAGCGGCTGTGCGTGTCCGAGGTGCTGGGCCCGCGCACCGTCGAGCAGCTGCGGCACGTCCGGCGCGGCAGCCTGGCGGCGCTGCTGCGCGCCGTGCGGGCGTCGTCGGCGCGGGGTGAGGCGGTGGACGTCACCCGCGAACTCATCCTCTTGTCCAACACCGCCATCATCCGGATGGTGGCGAGCGACGTGCGCGTGACCGACGAGGCACAGGAGCTGGTGAAAGCGGTGACGGAGCTGCTCGTCGCCTTCAACCTGGAGGACTACGTCCCGCTGTGCCGCGGATGGGACCTCCAGGGCCTCCGCAGGAAGGCCACCCGTGTCCACCGGCGGTTCGACGCCGTGTTGGAGCAGATGATCAGGCACAAGGAGGAGGCCAGGGACAGGGAGCGTGCCCGCGGCGGCGGCGGCATGCAGGAGGAGAAGAAAGTAGAGGGGCCGCCGGCGACGTGCAAGCAGCGCAACAAGGACCTGTTGGACAAAAGTTTCAAAGTTAGATGTACAAAAGTTTTATAGCATGCCATTAGAATATTCAATACGCCAGTATAAGGTTTCTGATTTTAGTATGCTATAAGTTTTAAATTACCAAGTTTTGAATCCGAGAGTACAAAGTTTTTAATATGCTAGTAGAAAGTTTTAAAATTATATTAGTAAAAAGCTTTTTAAAAGATTTTGCTAGTGGTCGATTGGTCGTGTGTTTAAATGGGCCTGCAACCTGGCCCATCTAGATTGCTGCTAGCCCTTGGGCTGCTACAAGTCTCTTCCCGAGTCTTCAGAACAGTAGTGCAAGGGCGACTCCGAGGCGATTGCTGTTCTACCGCCGGATTCGCCGGCCTTCCCTTGCCTCCGGCGGCCACTGTGGCACCGGTGAGCAGGGGGATGCAGATCCGGTGGGTAGTGTACATATTCCCTCCTATTAGGGTAGTTTTAGGTAGATTAGGGTTGGAGTTTGTCTTCCACAGCTTCTCTGCTCCCGTCTCCTTCAATGGTGTGCGAGTATCGGTGGTGGCTGGTGGGTGTGTGGTGCTCGGCGACAGCATCTTTTGCAGGGGATTCGACACTGACGGGTATGCCATCGAAGTTTTCCTTTGCGTTGGTGTTCGATCCCTCTGTGTTCTTCTCTGTGTCGGCGATGCCCATGCCTTCATCGACGGTGCTGGTCTCATAAGCCATTGTATGGCGGTGGGTACGTGGAGGAGTTTTGGTGGATGTATCGATGGGGATGGGGTGTCATCCATCCATCTTTTGTCCCTCCAAGGCAATTCTGGTGGACACTTCAGAATTTTCCTTGCGAGGTTAGCTATTCACCATCCATTGTGTCCGGGGTGGTGTATTCAGATCCCCTCGTGGGTTTGCTGTTCATCGTCTGGGTTGGATGGTGAAGCAATCGGTGTCAGATCCCGGCGACGACGATGAGATGGCAGCATGTCTTTGGCCGGTGCGTTCAGCGAATCAACAGCACGCCTTGGCGCGTGTTTCTTATGGGCTCCTTAAACTTTGATGAAGATTCTTCGTCGATCTGGAATTCGGCCATGAGCTTCATTCCGTGTCTTCTTCATTGCGGCAACATCGGTCGGCGACGGCGAAAGCTGCGGGGTGCTCCTCCAGAGGAGTTAGCTGTAATTTTTATTTTCTTGAGGGGTGCCTTTTATGGTGCTGGATGTATTAGTTTTTTTCCTATATTAATAAAATTCAACCCTTTTCTAAAAAAAAGGCTGGGTCAGGCCTTGTTTAGATTGCAAATTTTTACAATCAGATACGTGAAAGCGTGATCGTTTGCCTCTTCCCGATACGTTGGTAAACCTGTGTAATTAATTATTTTTTATATACGTCACGCTTGGAGAGTGAAAAAAACTTAGCTTTTGAGGCAATCTAAACGCGGTGATCGCTAGTGGACGTTGCAACGCGTTTCACGCTTGATCAAGCGCTCTCGCTAGACGGCAACGCGTTTGCTGATCAAGCGCTCTCAAGAACCAGAGATAGCAAGGGCCTACAACGTATTTGGGACGGCTCTACTACATATTTTTTCAGCTGCGCTTAATATTTTTTTCAGTCAAAAAAAGATAAAGTTGTGAGAGCATCGAAAAAATGCTCCAAAAACTCTAGTTTTTTAAACTGTTCCGTGGTAAAATTTATATAGGAGTTTGTGAAACAGTCCTAGACAGATTCTTAATAACTTTAAGACAAAAAATTAGGTGCTTTAACACAAGACTATGCGGAGGAGGAGCCTAGGTGTGTGTATATAACTTTATATAGGTACGTGATGTTTTTTCATTCGATTTACTTTCCCGTTAATCAAAACATTCTCTTGAGTTAGCTAGTTAATCCGAATATTGCTTTTCCTCCATATAAGGCCTCGTTTGGTACATGGCTCCGGCTTTGGCTCCTTCGAATGAGCCCTACAGGTTCCGTAACATAAGACATTAAACGGTGAAAAACACAAAAGTCAGAGCTATTTTAGAAGAGCCACCAATTATGGCTCCTCCAAAGTAGCTCTGGCTTCTCCGGAGGAGCCCTTTCCAAACAAGGCTTAAAATACTACTATCAAAAATAAACAATCACTGTCATACTATCACTAGCAGTTGCTTTGAAACCGACAATAATAATGTATCATTGTCGGTTCATAGATTTAATCGGTAGTCATAGTAAAACCGAAAGTAATGGACATGTTTGGTATGGCTAAATTCAGTTGAAATCAATAGCCAAATGATACGTTTTTTGCGGTTTATTTCGGCTACGCTTATTTCTGCCGCTCATATTTGTATTAAAATGCAGAAGATATATAATACCAGATTATTTGGTCACACTCTTATTCTATTTGTGCAACTTAACTAAAAGGCGCTTTCCAGATAATAAGCTCTACCAAACAGGACCAATAGGTGGATTTTCACCGTTAGTTCCTGGCTACAACCAGAGCTGATAGGCGGTGTACTATCACTGCCAGTTATAGCTACGAACTGGCAATTAAAGTCCACCTATCACTGTTAATTGTAGCCAAGAACTAAAAGTGAAAGTCCACCTATCGCCGTCGGTTCATGGCTTCAACCACCAGCAATAGACTGTTTTGGCACACAAAATCATAAATTTTCATATAAGGTCAAATGAAGATAAACTCTATATTAAAATTGCAGAGTTCAAAGAGATCTAAAACTTTTTAGTTGACAACTTTTTAATTTGAGATGGTTTAAATATTTAGATATTTAATATAAGTTCTCGGATTAGATTTGAGATAGTTAACCATGTTAAATGGAGACAAAGTAAACATCAAAGTTGTAGTACTCGACGAGATCTACAGTCTTTTCATTTGAGATTGTTTAGAGTGCCAAATACAATATAAGATTCATAAATGTGTATGTAGTTAAAAGAATATCAGCAGTTATATATATATAGTCACAAGTGTTGCATAGTTTAGTTGGTATGAGGTCTTGAGTTTGAATTTAAAAAACACTTTTTTATCAGTAATGCCAGGTTTAGACCAGTGATGCAGTAATCTAACTGTGGCTATCATGTTGTTTAACCCTTATACAATACAATATGCAAACGTAGTGCCTGTTTTACTCGTGTCATATTATCAAAACTAATCTCATTAATGTTGTAATCTCCACCATCAACAATTTGTAAGATATTTCTTCCTCTTATATATTTGGCAGGCTCCCTGACCTCGATATAAAGACACGCTACTCATATCATCTTGTGCCATTCATTTTTATGCCATGCTTATTGAGGGATGGCTTTATGGGATTTTTTATCACCATTAGAGGTAATGATGATAGCGTTAGCTATATGTTTTTTTTTCTAAAAAATATCTCATATTATGTATGCTTGTATTTTATCATTTACATATCATTTAAATGTCATTCTCCAATGGAAATGGATTAAGTATGATATATGTATGTGGTTAGCTTCATATCTTTCTTTCCTTTTTCTTATTTGCTTTTTGTTTTTCTTAATAATGACATGAGTGGGTAATAGTGGAATAGGTATAAGCATATTTAGGGTAATTTTTTGTATAATGGTAGTGGTGTAAATGGCACTTTGATTTTATTTCTTCTGACTAATATGATAATTAATTTTGGGGCCTTGTGAATGAACATGGAGGCTCCTTTTGGTGTAATCAACCATGTAGGGAGATTACTATACATGGCATCAGGGTGCATCCTAGGATGGTTGTCTGTGAGCTCATGCCATACCGCCAGGACTCGACAAAAAGCTTGCACCTTAGTAGCTCGTTTGAGTTGTTAGTGAATTGACTCGAAGCTAACTCAACATTTCTGATAGCTGGCTTGCGAGCCTAATGATCTAGAGCCGGTGGCATTGAACTTATGTTAGTCTTGTATAAGTTGATGTCTTGCATTTTAAGCAACTGATCGCCGGCTGGGCGTACACCCTAGAGATTTGGACTTACTACCACTTTATCTTAAATGGATATATAGATAGTCAGTAGTGAATTATGGACAATATCGGGGTGTAATAGTGTAGTTATATTCCTATATTATTTATATGTGTCAGTACATGTTAATTTATTTATTTGGTTTAACGTTTATGAAAAGATTACTTTTGCATTGCTACTATTCTTAAGCTTAAGATAAATATAAAAACTATATTTTTTATAATTTTATTGTTTAGATCGTGAACAAAACTAGTTAGTTCGAGTCGAGTTCCTAAACGAGCCGAGCCAAAGTGGCGTTTCGTTAAGACATCAAGTTTCGTTAAGACATCAAGAGCCGTTATCTCAACGAGCGTCAGCTCGATGTGCAGCCCTACATGCCATGCCACTCAGCCGCTGTACTACCTGTACAAGTAACCACTAGTCCACTACCACCGCTCTCTCCCTTCGCTCTCTTGTGCTGTCTCTCTCTGCAGCTGTTCCTGAACCACTTCGGGTCCACTCCCCACCGCTATTGCTCTCCCTTTCGCTCTAAAATAGTATTGTGCTCTGTCTCTCTCTGCAGCTGTCCAATTATATCTCCTCCCTCTGTTTCCAAAGAGAAATGTTTCATAGCTGCCCCTCCACGTTCGCGTACCTTTAGTTCCAAATCCTTATACAAATTAAGCGCCTCAAATTGCGGTATCTCCCTCCAAAACTAATTGCTGTTTCCAGAGAGAGAAATGTTTCATAGCTGCCCCCTCCACGTTCGCTACTACAGTAGCACCCGGGAATCCGGAGGCGCCGATTCGGTGGCCAACTAAACGCGGCCCTGATTTGAGAGCTCTGGGCACCAGATTTGAAGCCTCTAGTCTCGTGCATTGGTTGTAGCATTTGAAAGTCGTGTTACGATGAGCAAGGAGGATGTCCTCAAGGTGCAGGTGTGTGAGCTTTGCTGCTTCTCTACTCTACCACCATTCTTCTTGTTTTGGCTGCCATTTTCCTCCAGCAGGTGGAGGCAGCTCTTGCTTGTGTTTGCAGCATGTGTTCCCTTCCGAGTACCCTGGCTGCAGCAGTCCTGCCATGTTTTTGTTTCTTGAAATCCTTCTGTTCTGTTGTTTTTTATGACGTCCTCCTTCCTCATTCCAGACATTGATGCTGAGAGTGAACATACACTGTGATGGGTGCGAGAAGAAGGTCAAGAAGACCCTCCACAAGATCGACGGTAAGAGAGAGAGAGAGAGAGAAAGAAACTCATCTTTTGTCAAAGAGCGGATTGCTTGAGTTTTTCTTGTTGATTAGTGTTTTCTTTTCCCAACGTTTGCTCTGCATTTTCTGATGGAATTCTGACGAAATTGATCCGTAGGTGTCTACCAAAGCAGCATCGACGCGGAGCAGGGGAAGGTGACGGTGTCCGGCTTGCTGGATCTGGACACCATCATCAGGAAGCTCAACAAGGCCGGCAAGCCGGCGCAGCTGTGGGGCTCCAAGACGGGCGTGCCTCAGAACGCCCACCATGGCGGCGGCGGTGGCGGCGGCAAGGGCCATTCCAAGGACGCCGGCAGCGGCAAAGCCCAGAAGGGCGGAGCGGGAGGTGGCAATCACAAGGGTGGTGGTGGTGGCGGTGGCGGCGGCGCAGGCAAGAATGCGAAGATGGTGCTGCCGCAGCCGACGCCACAGCAGTTCCAGCAGCTGCAGCAGCAGTTGCAGATGAAGGGGCTGAAACTTCCGCCGCAGCTCTTGGGCGGCAATATCCCGGCGTTCACCCCAGCTGCGCCGTTGAAGGATCCCAAGTCCGTCAAGTTCACCCTCCCCGAGGATAACTTCGACGACGACGGCAGCGAATTCGACGATGAGTTCGACGACTTCGATGACGACGAGGACTACGACGACCCCAAGATGATGATGAAGCCCATGGCCGCCGGCGGGGGGGACAAGAAGGGCGGCAACGGTGGCGGCAAGAAGGGTGGCGGCGGGAACGAGATCCCAACACAGAGCAAGGGAAATGGCCAGGGCCACAACGGCGGTGGAAAAAACGGGGGTGCGAAGGGAGGCGCCCCGGGCGGCGGTAATCAACCGGCCCAGGGGAAGAAGGGCGGCGGCGCTACTGCCGGTGTTGGTGGGCCCATGTCCGGCATGCTGCCTCAGCAGGGCATGGTGAGGCCTAACATGATCGGTGGTGCCGGGTTCCCCGGTACAGGGCAGATGGGCGGCGCACCCATGAGTATGCTGCCGATAGGCCATCCGACCATGGGTATGATGCATCAGGGCGGCGGTGGCAGCGGTGCCGGTGGTGCCGTACAGGGCATGCCAGCGCCAGGGTTCTACCAGGGAGGCGGTGGCATGCCGTCGGGCGGCCAGATGCTGCAGGCTGCTGCTGCGGCCGGGAACCCCATGGCGAATATGGCCTTGATGCAGCAGCAGCAGCAGATGATGATGATGAATGGCCATGGCCACCACCACGGCCATGGCAGTGCAGGGTACCCGTCAATGGGCTACGGCTATGGCCGCCCACCGATGCATTACCCAATGGGGTACCCAATGCCGCCCCATTCGCATTCCGGGGATTACAACATCTTCAGTGACGAGAACCCCAACAGCTGCTCTGTGATGTGAGGGGGAGAGAAAAGATGGCGCCGGCCAGTTAGCTTCATCTTGCTGCCCAAGGTCAGAGGTGATCGACATCGCCATGGTTGAAAGTTGAAACACCGTGGCTCAATCATCAGTGTACTTTGAGTGCCAGCTAGAATTTATCCTTTGTCCTTTCCTCTTCTCTTTCTCTTTTTGTCCTTTCTTTGGAGAAAGAAACTTCCTTGAATGCGAAGTTTGGTATAGTAATTATGGATAGTCTTGATAAGGGAAGAGATGAGCCTTTATAGGCACAGCCACCATCCAATTGGGGTGGTGTTTGTGGGCTGTGGCTACATAAAAGGTGGACTGAAGGCAGAGCAATGTTGTTAATCCAAGTAAGGTGGTGTTTGGATCCGGTGATTAAAATTAAAAAGGTGTGTCGGGAGGATGTTACATGAGGTGTTCGGATATTAATAAAAAAACAAATTACATAATTCGTTAGTATTTCATGAGACGAATTTTTTAAGCCTAACTAATCCGTCATTAGCACATGTTTACTGTAGCACCACATTGTCAAATCATGGATTAATTAGGCTTAAAAATTTCGTCTCGCAAATTAGTCACAGACTATACAATTAGTTTCATAATTAGTCTATATTTAATACTCCATGCATGTGTCGAAACATTCAATGGGACATCGACTAAAATTTAGGAGGGGCAACCAAACACCACATAAATCAGTGTGCATATGTTGTGGTTTACATTCTAACTATATAATGGTCATGGAAGTTCAATTTATATGGTAGCCAGCTATTGTCTGGTGCATTGAGACCTTTGCAGTTGGATGAATCATGAATAACACTAGATATATCCTCCTGTGGGAATTTGATCTGGTTTTTCACTAATATAGATACAGCTGTCCTGTATTTTCAGATTCAGCTCACATGACCTTTTAAACTTTGAATTCATGTAGTCTGTCATTCTGCTTTTCAAATGGTGTGTCTTGTTCCATTTCCTTACACCACTTGAACACAAGGGACAGAAACTTTCATAAACAACAACTCGGTGAATTCTGTTGGTGACACCCATAACAACTATAAACTGTGCTATTATGAGAGCAGAAAATGTCTCCTCTGGCGAAATGTACTCTGTTCACTCTCCTCACTTGTCAGGCACAGCTTTCAATATTTGTGGTATTTTAACCTGCCATTCTAATTTTGCTTGTAAATTTATCTTCTGCAGAATACAGAGGAGACACCAAGTTGCAGCAGGTGAGCACCGATGCCAACCTTCAGATGTGCAAAGAAAAGATGGATCAGGAGCATTTCAGTTTTATGGCAATATGCCCATATGACTATACTAGTTTCTATTGGATTTGTTTCGGCCAGCAACCTCACCTCTTGTTGGTTTTACATTGTTTCACTTAACAATGTCAGAATTAGTTACAGATTCTACTAGCAAAATGTATGCTGCCTAGGAGTAATTCAATTAGATGAACTGAACTGGTGTTATGAAACGGCGCCTCATGATACACAAGAACTTGCATTGTTAATGCTGAAGACAAATGGACCAAATCATGACATGCATATGTTTCGGTCTGATTTCCTGCAGGTAGAAATCCATCTGGTTTGGTTCTCATACTCGAGTGTGCATGCTGTTAACAAGTTTTGGTGTCTGTCGGTGTTTCGAGTAAGCACCGGCTAGTAAATTTATATATTGGGCGTCTGACCCGGATGGTGTGCTAAGAGGATACAAGGATTATACTGATTCAGACCGAATATCCCTACGTCCAGTTTCGAGCTGCTCGTGTTACTAGCACTGAGTTTGTAGTAGGGATTACAAACTGGCGAGAGAGGGAGGTAGCTCCTAAGTCTCTGGTGTGATGCGGTATGCTTGTCCGATGAATCGGTGTATGATGAGTCGATCCCCTAGTGGGACACCCTGCTTTTTCTTTTATAGACCCAGGGAAAGCAGCGGTTACAGCCGAAGGGGAGAGGAAAAAAGAAAATTGAAAATAAGGCTCCCGGTGATGGGTCGTCCTCCTCTTTGCGTGGGTCCCGCTGACCCTGTAGATCGTGGAGGCAGCGGTGTCATACCGGGGTCCTGTTGGTCGCTGCATCTCACGTGACGCGCGTCGCGCCATTCTTGTCTCCCGTCCCGTCCGAGCGGACGAAATGGTCAGAGGGTCCCTTGACAGAAGTCATACGGGAGGCTAGCGGTACAGTGCCAGTCAATCGACGCCGGTTGACTGACGTTGGACGGTGGTCGGGTAGGGAGTTGGCAGCATAGTGCTGACCTGTTGACGCGATGGGCGGCGTGAGTTTCCCCGTATGGCCCGATGCGATACGCCAGTCGCATCAGGACACGTCCGAGACGTGCGCCCGGGCGTGCGCTTCCATGCTGTAGTGGTTGAAGCGGTTCGAGCCCTACCCTAGGACCAATGCCTTGGTTCGGTAGCACATCCGATCCCCAAGGATCGGGCGAGGCGGGTGAGACGGAATCCGACCCACGGGGGTCGGACGTGGCAGGGCCCTCCCCGTGGGACCGGACGAGGCGTGTCCCGGCCCCTGGGGGTCGGACGATGCGGAAACCTCATCCTCGGCGTCGAACGAGGCGGGGCCCAACCCCTGGGGGGCGGACGAGGCGGAAACCTTGTCCTCAGCGTCGGACGAGGTGTGGCCCGGCCCTTGGGGGCGGACGAGGCGGAAACTTCGTCCTCGAGTCGGACGAGGCTGTAGTTGCGTCTTTAACCATCGGATGAGGCGACGTGATGCTTTTTAATCCTTTGGCTTGGATACCCGGGTATAGATATCCGATAGTAACCTCCGAGCCTTCGGAGGAGTGAGACACTCCTGCAAAGGTTTTTTCGCGATTTGTTGCTCCCGTGGCCGTTATGCCATGGATGCGGGTCGTTATTGGAACTTCGGCGTTTTTCCCTTCGGTTTGTTAATCCACGTAGGGTAACCGAGTAGGTTTTAGATACCAAGCCTCTATGTGGGAGATTGACAAAAGCGGACATGGGCGCCCAGCCCCTGGGGAGGACACACGCCGGTAATTTGTTTTCCACCGGGTGCGCGCGAGCACACCTGGTGGGTGTATCCCCCGAGCCTTTGGAGGAGTGAGACACTTCTGCAAAGGCTTTTTGTGGTCCATTGTTTTAAGGGCGCACGGGAGTACTGTTTGTTATTATCGTTTTGTAGGAGGGCAAGTTGTGTATGACACTCGTCGTTTGTCTGCGACCGCGTGTTCGGTCTCCTTGCGACGTCGAGCCCCCCGAGCCACCTCATGCGTTCATTCGAGTGGACGGGGCTGATATGGGCCTAAGACGGGGTTTGTCCTATGATCGTCATCCCTCATGCGTTCATTCGCTAGAAGGAAGGGGCTGAGACGGGCCGTGCTTTCATCGCAGGATGGAGCACGGTGCTCGGTGAGTTGTTAACGGGCTTGTTCGAGTGGAGCCCCGGCATCCCCTTCGCAGGGGCCCGGTTCGAGGTCAGCTGGTGACTGACTCTAGATTCTTGGTGGCTGGTTCATATAGTTCCCGGAACTGTTCGACCGGTCCAAGGGCTTGATGCCTTTCTTTCGGGGAAAAACCATGGACCTTGCATCATCTAAGACTCAAAATGAGGGTCGGGACGCCCGTGGCGCTTCACGCGCTTTGGGTACTGGCCGTTATCGGGCCTGCCCTTAACCTCCCCTCACTCTAAGGTGCCCTAGAGTTGCCGTGAACCCACTAGTGGGCCAGCCTTTGAACTCCTAGGCGTTAATGGGCCATAGGAGCGTTTTCAGCTCTGTATCCCTCTTACCTACGGCAGCCTATGGTCTTTGAAGTTGAACTGTCGCCCGGTGGATCCTTCGCGTGGAAGATTGGGATAGGCGTGCGCTCGTCTCTCGAGGCGGTGGGGCGACTCATGCTTATAAATGAAGCGGTTTCTCCCCAGCCTCCATACGCGCATCCGCATCCTTTGCCCTTCCAATCTTTCTGCCTTTCGCCCCCGAGTCCCAGCCTTTGTTTCCCTATTTCCACTCCACCGCCGGCAAAGTTCTTGCTCTCTAGCCTTATGCCACCACTGGCTCTTCTACATTGCCATCCTCATTCCTCGATGGAGCTGTGGCCTCGCTTCGACGTTCTCCACGTGTATATGGAGGGTCTGGTCAAGAAGGGCCTTCTCTGCGCAAGGACCACGGCGAATGAGTGGATCATACCTAGTGGCGAGGATGTGCCATCGCTGCCGATGGCTACGTCGTCTCCTTCATCCCCTTCCACGAGCGGGGGTTCGAGACTCCTCCCCACCGATTCTTTCGAGGGCTGCTGCACTACTACGGGCTGGAGCTGCAGCATCTAAATCCCAACAGGATTCAGCACATCTCGGCCTTCGTCGCGCTGTGCGAGGGGCATCTGGGGATTGAGCCCCACTTCGAGCTATGGAAGTACTTCTTCGCCGTCGAGCTGTAGAAGAAGGAGAAGAAAAAGGCAGACCTGGCGGTGCCGATGGGGAGCGCGAGCATCCATCTATGGGGCAGCCGGGCGTCGAAGTATATGTCCATCCCCTTGTCGAAGTCCAACAAGGGGTGGCATAAGCTCTGGTTCTACCTGAAGAACGACGATGACGCCCCTCTGTCGATCTTCATCGGCCGCCTGATCGAGGAAGTGCCAGGGGTGTGGAGATACGGGCCCGTCGAGAAGGAGCAGAAGAGGCTCGGCGACCTTCTCAAGGCCATCGCGACTCTGAAGCGCCGCAACCTTCGTGGGACCAGCGTCATTGGAGCATACCACGTTAGGAGGCTGGCGCCGCTGATGGCGCGTGCCCTTCCGATGTATAAGATGATGCCGGACTCCGTGGCCGAGGGGGCGATGATGGTCACCGGCGAGGCTCTCAGCGTCGGTGAAATGGCACAGTGCCTCAAGAAGGAGATGGAGTTCCTGATGGATCCGTCGATGGATCTCGCACCGGTGTACCCGGTCCTGGGGCATCCCACGATGCGGCCAGATGTGGGTTTCATCAAACTGGTAAGCTTTCTTCGAGTTTCTTTTCTTGGCCGAC